GACCTTTCCCTTTGTTTTCTATCCCCGCCTTCACTACTGGAATTACCGGAACACTCGGCAGGCATGATAAGATCGGCGATGAAGACTATTCCTCTCACACCCACTGTAGCCAGATCAAGAGTCCTATCTAACATCCAAAACTACTCCCCATACGTACCTCCAAAGCCACCTAGGGCGTCCAACTCAAATTCACCCACAAAATCCACCCGTCCCTCCTCTAACCCCATAAGTATTCCACCCCCCCCTCCTGCTCATGTAGCCCAACATCCCCCAACCCATCACCAAGAACCCCTCCGCCTCCACTCCCCCCTCTTCCACCACCCAACTCAGCCTGCCCCTCCCCTTACCCATCACCAAAAACCCATCCACCTTCAACCCCCCCCCGTCCAACTCCCAAGAACCACCCGCCTCTCCATCCTCCTCCCCCGCCTTCCCCTTCCCCTCTTATCTCTAAACACTAGGATGCACAGGGTCTCTGCTTCGCAGCCACTGGCAGTCTAGTTAGAGGAGAGACCCGGCTGGGGCCCTGTCATGAAGCCACCTGTGCCATTCCCTTAGTGATAACACAAAGAATACATTACAGAAAAACATCTGGAGTTAATCAGTCTAATCTGGAAAATCTAATTCTTGTTCTGTGTAAGAATCAGCCGACCACAACCGCTGATCCTGAAACTTGCTATGCTAAATGTCAGATCTCTTTTTAACAAGTCTTTATTAATCAATAATTTTATTTGTTCTTATAATCTAGATCTTATGTTCATGGCTGAAACTTGGCGTGACCAAAATACAGGAAATGCAGTTTTAAGAGAAGCATCACCACAAAATTTCAAATTTGAATCTGAAATACGGGAAAACAAAAAGGGGGGTGGCTTAGCTGCCATTTTCAGAGACCACTTTGTCTCCCATAGAATGTCTCTTGGGAAGTTTCCGTCTTTTAAAATACAACAAAAACAATCTCCTCCAATACTTTTCATTGTCCTATACAAGCCACCGCAGTCATGTCACAGTTTTATTGATAATTTTACAGAGTTGCTTTCAGTTGTATGCACAGATTTTGATAGTTTATCAAATCTGTGCATTTCTGAGTGGAGTTTGCATGTTCTCCCTGTGTCTGCGTAGGTTTCCTCCGGGTACTCCGGTTTCCCCTACCACTAAAAATATGTACAATAGGTCTGGCATGCGCCTCCTGTTCGGCGACCCCGCTCCCATCTCTGTGTGGAGTGAGAGGACAAATGCCCAAAAAATAACAATTGTAAACCGCTTTGTGACTCTGGTCTGTGAAAGGCGGTATATAAATAAAGCTTACTTACTTACTTACTTACTTTAGTTATTACAGGTGATTTTAATATTCATGTGGATAATGTTAATGACAGAAATGCAAAAGAGCTGAGTTCTGTTCTTGAATCTTTTGGTCTCACTCAGCAGGTGAGTGGCCCCACCCACAGCAGAGGGCACACTCTAGACCTGTTAGTTACTAAGGGGGTCGATGTTGCTCTTTCGGATAATTTCTGTGTATTTTTTTTTACATGTGTTTCACTAACAAGCCACCAGTGGACTGTTCAAAGAAGACACGTAAATGAAAATACGGGTGAACTATTTATGGGAATGATAAACTTTGAGAATGCATCGTATTCTACTGTAGATGAACTATTTAACTCTGTCACCTCTAGTGTTTTGAATGTTCTGGACACCATCGCTCCTGTGAAGGTTAAAATAGTGAAAAATAAGCAGAAGGCGCCGTGGGCTAAAGCAGACTCGGTCAGGGCACAAAAGAGAGAGTGCCGGAGGACCGAGCGGTTGATTACAAGATCTTCAAAGATAAGTTGTGCGAGTTTAACCGGGTGCTACGTAGTACGAGAGAAAGGTCTGATTTCTAAAGTCTGTTCTGAGCACACAGATAGTAAACATGTCCCTTAATTCTGGAATATTCCCAAAGGCCCTGAAAACTACAGTCATCAGGCCCCTGCTAAAAAAGAGCAGTCTGGATGATACGGTACTTAACAACTATCGTCCCATCTCAAATCTGCCATTTATGGGGAAAGTCCTTGAAAAAGTTGTCTACCTACAGCTAAACAGATTTCTTATAATCAACAACTCATTTGATATGTTTCAGTCCGGCTTTAGACCCCACCACAGCACTGAGACTGCTCTCGTCAAGGTTACAAACGATATCCGGCTGAACACTGACGCAGGCAAAGTCTCAATCCTAATCCTATTAGATCTGAGTGCTGCCTTTGACACTGTCGACCATGAAATCCTCTTACAGAGACTAGAGGACTGGGTTGGCGTCGCTGGCACCGCCCTAAGTTGGTTTAGGTCTTACCTTGAAGACAGGAAGTACTTTGTGGAGATTGGAAACTGTGTCTCAGATCATATGGCCCTGACCTGTGGAGTACCACAGGGGTCGATCCTGGGACCTCTTCTGTTCAATCTCTACATGCTGCCGTTAGGTCAGTTAATACGCAGAAACAAAGTTTCCTATCATAACTATGCAGACGACACTCAGATCTATGTCTCACTGACTGCAGGAGAACATGGACCAGTGGACTCACTCCTTCACTGTATCCAACAGATCAGTGAGTGGATGCAAAACAACTTCCTTCAGCTAAACGCAGACAAAACTGAAATGATTGTCTTTGGTCCCCAGAAACAAAGAGAGAGCGTCATCTGTCACCTACAGTCTCTCTCCCTAAAACCTTCAAACAAGGTCAAAAATCTAGGGGTAATACTGGACTCAGACTTAAATTTTAATAGCCACATCAAATCAGTAACATCAGCAGCTTTTTACCATCTAAAAAACATTGCCAGGATCAAAAACATAGTGTCTAAAGCAGACTTGGAGATTCTTATCCATGCATTTGTCTCCAGTAGGTTAGACTACTGCAATGGCCTGCTCACAGGTCTGTCCAAACGAGGCTGTAAAACAGCTGCAGTACATTCAAAATGCAGCAGCTCGAGTCCTGACTAGAACCAGGAAGTACGACCACATTAGTCCGGTCCTCAGGTCTCTGCACTGGCTTCCTGTGGCTCAGAGAATAGACTTTAAAACAGCTCTGCTTGTGTACAAGTCTCTCCATGGCCTCGCACCAAAATATATTAGTGACATGTTAGTCCCATATGAACCAGCCCGGACTCTGAGGAGCACAGGGACTGGACTCCTGCTGGGACTCTGAGGAGCACAGGGACTGGACTCCTGTTAGTGCCCAGAGTCAGAACTAAACATGGGGAGGCTGTTGTTCAGATTCATGCTGCTAAAATCTGGAACAATCTTCCTGAAGATGTGAGACAGGCCTCCTCTCTGACAATGCTTAAAACCAGGTTAAAGACAGTTCTGTTCAGCTGTGCATACAACTGAGGGATTTTATATTTTTATCTTTCTTTTTAATGTTCTGTGATTATTTATGATTTTAATGCTTGTTCTTGTTCTTGCTTAATCTTGTTAGCATTAAAATAACTCAAAGTGTATCAGCACTTTGAGTTACCTTGTGTATGAATTGTGCTATACAAATAAACTTGCCTTGCCTTGCCTTAAAGGGCCCTAATCTGTCATCATTAAAGGGCCCTAATCTGTCATCATTAAAGGGCTCTAATCTGTCATAATTAAAGGGCCCTAATCCGTCATCATTAAAGGGCCCTAATCTGTCATAATAATAAACTGCTCTTTTCCAATACTTCTTTAACTGATAACAGTCGTTCAGAGATATTTGAATTTCTAAATTACTTTTCCAGCCCCTAAATCTTGTTATTGTTTTCATTTCGATTGTCCCGCCCTCCACCGTTTCACCAATCAGAAAGTCTGTGATCCGGGCACCAGAACTCACCTCGTGGAGCTAATCTCACTGGTAAAGTACCATGTGGCGCAGAACTAAAAAAGGTCTTGTTATGATTCTCAAATCATTAACAACAAAACAAGGAATAAAACCAGGATTTCTATCTTTGTGAAAAAGGTGTTGGTTATAGATTTGTTGTTGACAAAACTCTATTCAGCTGTTATGGTCCCAGCTGGATTTGTCTGCATATCTGGCAACCTGAGTCAGGGAGAGTGGGAGCGGCTGCAGTACTTTTTTTGGCCACATTTTTACATACTGCTCCTTTAAGCAGGGCAGTGCCTGGTTAGTACTGTGATGGGAGACCTCTGGGAACACCAGGTGCCAAAGTGGGGCGGCTGTGGTTGTAAAGGGCCAACCTGTTGTTGTTGTTGTGCCCTTAGGCAAGACACCTCACCCACATTGCCTATAAGTATTACACATTATTACGATCAATAAATGTATTTGGTTCTTCTATACCTATCGTGGAGTGGACTTTTTGATTATTTTTACCTGGTTTTATTTTAATGTTAGATATTTAAGCTATGTCTGTTCAGTTGATTTAGTGTTTTATTGTTATTCTAGATTTTGATTTTATTACAGTAAATTACCTTTTATTTCCAGTACTGCCTTTAGGTTTCTCTTTTCATTTGACCACGTGGCAATACCTGACAATGTTACCTGACAGCGATGTTTCTATTGTCTACCAGAACCATACTTTTATCTCCTTAGAAGACTAGAGGAACCTTCCTAAATCATTATCATTAGTAATTATCCAAAGCCGACCAAAAAAACACCATAACTCCGATGTTATTATGAAGAGTTGCTTGAATTTTATTTATTTAGCGCTTTAACAAAGCATGGGTACAATGAGATCCCCTCAATCCCACAACCAAACATTTGGAGGAGTACATCGGAATAGAAAAGAAAAGTTTAGAATATCTACATCTGCATTTGAAAGCATCACATCATTGCTCATATTACATATACTACTACTATATACATTTGCCGTTGTACGAAGTTGAAACTAAGAAAAGTGAATTTAGGGCGTTAGCCAATTATTAACATTATTGCAACTAAAGACTTTCTGTGTCATTACCTTACTTACAAGACATTGTAAGTTGAATTACAGAAGTAAATTGACTTTTGAACCACGCTCTCATGGCCCCAGTTGGTCAGACCAGTCTGGACTCCTCACATGGTGTCTTCGTTGCTGGATTCATGGAACTCTGCCCAGTGAGCGCTGATCCCGGTCAGATACGTCTGATAGGTTCCACTGAGGAAGCGCAGCTCGGCCTGTTCATGCTCTGGATACATGTTGAAGGACTCCCCTGAGGGGTCTCCCATGACCATCAGGGAGCGCCCCCTGCTGGTGACAAACACCAGCGAGTGGATGTTCTGCAAGTACTTCCCCGAGATCTGGACTATGGCCTCGTCGTCAAACAAAAGGAACTCCTGCTCTGTGCCCCTATGTAGGCCCGCGCGCTCGGCCCAGATATACCCGTACCTCAACTGGATCCTACAGGTGCAAGTAGAACATACAGGTGAAACCAGAACATACAGGTGCAAGCAGAACATACAGGTGCAAGCAGAACATACAGGTGAAACCAGAACATACAGGTGAAACTTGGGAAATTGTTCAGAAGCCGCACTTATTTCCTTAATTAGGCCGAGCCAATACTTTGCATTGGGGAGGCCTATTGTTATTCACCGGTTTCATATTATTGTTATTTTTCCGCATCTTCAATTCGATTTTTGACCCTGAAGACATGCACGAAAGTCTGCACATGGGGGGTCTAAAACGACCGGTCCGGCGAAACATTTGATAAAATGAACGTTTCCAGATTGTCCGACGCTCGCCGACTCTATAACGCCCCCTAGAAATTTCATTTTTTTTGACCCTCTGGGGATTTTTTTTCAAATATTGGAGTAGGTACACGAAATTCGGATGAGTGATAAATCTCTATGAGACGAGCATAAAAGCCGTTCTAAGCACATGTCTGGGACCAACAGGAAGTCGGCCATGAGGGGCCGAAGTTTCGCCACTAATTTGACTTTTCATTTATAAATTCGAACTAGTCCCTGGTTTTTCATCACACAGAGTTCTACCACGTCATTTCCCGCTCTGGACGGATTGAAGTTATATAATCATCGAAAAAAGTTAGAAAATCTTCACCGTTTTCGTCCCTCGCCATAGCGAATAAGGCCTTCGTTTTGGCCATTTTCGCTGAGCCCTGAGGGCCACAGGCTCAGACCTACAGAGCTGAGACTCACATCAGTAATATTAGGTTATGGCCTGAACGCAATGACACTAAAATCATTCGCCCAATTTGAGCTCTTTAGCGCCACCTGTCGGAAAGTAATAGGGCACTAGTGCTCGGATCGGCCCGAAAATCGCTGAGTGTATTCTCTGGACCGACACGAGCAAAACATTACATTACGCAAAAGTTGTAAGTCCTACACCTGACCACTGGGGGCGCTGGAAAGTGAATAAATGAGCTTTTTTAGGGCAAAATGTTTGTCCGATGAGGCTAAAAATGAATTCAGAAATACAACGTATGACCCTGAAGTTAGAATTTTGTTATCATTTTCATGCAAGGTAGTGGGGAATTTCTCCATGTTTGATGCTCTCCTGACCACAGGCTCAGACCTACAGAGCTGAAACTCACATCACTAACAGTTGGTAATGGCCTGAGAGTAATGGTGTGAAAACACACACCTAATATGACTCTACAGCGCCACCTATGTAAGGCTTCTGACCTAAACTTTTCCGATCTTCACCAAAGTTGCAAAATCAAATCTTTACATCTGTACGAGCAAAATACTACTCTACGTAGAGGGTGCATGTCCCGGAGGTGACCACTAGGGACGCACTTTATCATATAAATGAGCTTTTATATATGTAATCCTGGTCAGATCGGGCTGCCAATTCGTCTGCGTGACGCTTGTGGGACTGGCGCCCAGGAGGCGGTCGCAAGAGGGGCGAGGCCTTTCATCGCCGCTTGCGGCTTTAATTAATCTTTAAATGCAAAACAAAGATTTCTTTCTATGTCTTTCATTCATACAGGCTTATTTCCACTGGCATCACCTGCAGGTGAAAGCCAGATCCCGTCATATCTTTGTAGCTGTGCAAGGCAGGCTGGGTAGTACTGTGATGGGAGACCTCTGGACACACCAGGTGCCACAGCTGGGCGGCTGCGGCTGTAAAGTGTCATGAAAATCTACTCAGAAAGTCCTGTTTGAGGGGGAATCAAACCCAGGACATTCTTGCTGTGAAGCACATGCACTAATCACTGCTGCACTTTGGTTTGAGTTTGAGCTCAGTTACACAGTAGAAGCTTGGGGTAGAGCTGCTACTGCCCCACATTGAGTGGTGCCAGGTCAGGTATACAGTATTCTGTATATCACTTTGTATGTAATGAGCTCTTCATAGAGTAGTGTCGCATTGTACTTTTCCGAGTTTAAGCTGTACATTTTTGGTCCCAAGCAAAAAAACTATAAAAGTGAAGACAGCAGTAAAAAAAAAAGGATTGTAGAAATACTTACGCGGAGATGAAGTTAGACTGACTCCAGACTCGAACTCCAGTGACTCGCTCATCTCCCTCGATCCTGTACGGAGTTCCACTTCTGGATCCCACCAGAGAACTGAAGGAGTAGTTCTGGTCTGAACCACAAGAACACAATCCATACTCATAAACCACCAAATATAAAACACAAGACACAAAATATATAAGACACAAGAGACAAGACATTCAGCCCATTCATATGACATGATGTTTTGAGGTTTTCCCTTCTGCAGACACAGGGTCTATTTGGACATTTATGGACATTTGGAAATCTCTTTTTGACCAATAACGTAGTTGTAATAACATAGTTGTAATAACATTGTTGTAAGTTCATCAAGATGACTGACGTTGAGATTCATAGTTATTAATTTGAATATTGCTGATGGAGGAGTAAACATGTATTGTCTTTTGGTTATTGGATTTTTTTAAATATTTAAATTCGAAATGTAAAGAATAAAATTTGATTGAAATAAACTTAAAGGCTCAGAGATTGTTTTTGTTATCGTCACATCCGTTTCATAGTTTAAAGGACAATGTGGCAAATGGAAGCAATAAAAAATAAATCATGAGAGACCACTAGGGGCGCACTATGAGGTAGACGTGCAAACCACGATGTCGATATTATGTTCATAATATATAATAATCTGCACAACTTTTCATACAAAGTACTCCTCTGGTGAGTGGATGATACTTTTCGTCGTCAGCATCTTCCTGTGGACACAAACTTCAACGAAATGCCTCCAAAATCGGGAAAATCGCAGGTTAGCAACCCAGAGGCTAGCAAGGCAAGCACACCTAAGGCTAATAGCTCTGAGCTTTCCGGGACATCTTAAAAGAAGTAATTAGGGAAGAAAACGATGGTCTAAGGGAAGAAATAAGCCGAGCAATTGCGCCAATTCATAAAGTGCCAAGAACCTTTTGAGCTAGATACTCGGATGACTGCTACAGAAAAAAAACGGCTACTCTGCTGATAGCGTGAATGTTTAAAGACAATCCAATAACAGTGAAGTAACTTCTGTGTTCTTGTTTATTTGAAGGGTTACAAGTTAATAAGTTATTTGTCTGATAATTTTTTTTTCTTAATTACATTTGTAAAATAATACTGACTATTGTGATGTGCAATCCATGAGTATTACGGGTTTTACAGTTTAAAAAAAAAATGTATATTTTAGATATATTTTTCATATTTTTCTTATCCTTATTTCATTATATTTCTTTAATACTTTACATTAGACACATTTGTACGTTAGACCATATTTTACTTTAGATATTTTACCCGTGAAAAATTCTGTTCTTAGTCCTACCTTCATTTTTTTTTAAACTTATTTTTTTTATTCACAGCAATTATCAGGTCTATTTATTATTTTATTCATCTATTCGTTTTATATCATAGTTCTCCTATTTTTATTTAACTCGCAGCTACCGTCTAGACATTTCTTTGTTATTATTTCAGTTTTATTTACTTTTTTCTTTTTCTTTTTTCTTTCTCCTACTAGAATGAATCATAAATGGATCTCCTGATATTTTGTATATTGTACCTAATTTTTTGTGCGCACTCTTAATTGTGCAGGTTATTTTATTTGCCTTAAAGAAGGGACTGTGGTTGAGAAGAAGAGGACTCTCAATGGAAGTGAGGCCACTTGGGGCATGTTGTGTTTGTCGATTGGGGACAACACCGGGCATATTAGGGAGGGGGGTGGGGTGCTATGTATGTTTTTTTCAGTTTTGTTTTCACTTTGCACTTTTTTATTCTGTAGTTAATTCTTTCTTTGTATCCGTAGTTGCAGGAATGTCGTATGCCAACTGGAATACTCATTCACTTGAAGGCAACCATGATTATTCCATAAGATAATTCTCAAGCTGGAGGTAATGGCCGCCATGTTAACTTCATAAGTTGGAATGTAAAAGGATTGAACCATCCAATCAAATGCAATAAGGTACTTTCTCATCTGTTACACCTCAAAGTAAACATAGCATTTCTACAAGAAACACACCTCAAAAAGTTATCACAACCAAAACTAAAAAGAAATTGGGTGGGACAAGTTTTCCACTCAAATTTCAACGCAAAGGCGAGAGGCACTGCCATTCTCATTCATAAAAACACTCCTTTTAGGGCTTCCGACACAATATCTGATCCTAATGGTCGTTTCGTAATAGTAACTGGATCTTTGTTTAATATTCCTTTAGTTCTGGCTAATGTATATGCCCCTAACTGGGATGATCACAATGTTTTCAAGAACTTTCTTCACTCTTTACCTCAAATTAATACACATTATTTGTTACTCTGTGGTGATATGAACACAGTGATGGACCCAATTCTGGACCGATCGTCTGCAAAACCTCTTTCAGTTTCAAAATCCGCTCGAATTTTACAATCATATCTGAATATGTATGGAGTGGTCGATGTTTGGCGTCATTATAATCCCTCTTTAAAACACTACTAATTTTTCTCACCAGTGCACCAAACATATTCACGCATTGACTCTTGTTTTATGGATAAGTAAAATATTCTCAAATGTTAAATCTTGTAGATATGAAAGTATAGTTGTGTCTGATCATAGCCCTTTGGTTCTAGAACTTAACTTTCCAAATGAAGCCCCTATGTATCCATGGAGACTTGATTCATTGCTATTATCCGATAAGACAATTGTGGAATATGTTGGTGAACAAGTAAAATTTTACCCCTGGTATGGCATATAGTACTGTTTGGGAAAGTTAAAAAGCATTTCTACGAGGACAGATCATTTCTTTCTGTTCATATAATAAAAAGCAGAAACAAAATCGTATTTCAGAGTTGACAGGACAAATTGCTAAATTAGATTCTCAACATTCCATGACACCTACCCCAGAGTTGTATAAACAACATAGGGTTTTACAAACTGAATTCAATTTGATAACAACTCAACAGGCTGAACGTTTGATGCAGAAATCTAGAGGTCAATGGTACGAGCATGGGGAGAAGGCTTCAAAACTTCTAGCGCATCAGCTGCGGAAGTCAGAATCCACACAGCTAATATCCGAAATCAGAACCCAAAATAGGCAGGATACTATCAACCCATAAGTAATCAATGATACGTTCCAAACATTTTATGATACTCTATATCAGTCTGAATCCTTACAATCACATGAGCTATTCGATACATTTTTTGAAAACTTAGAAATTCCTACCTTAGAGCCAGTTTTAAAAAATAAATTAGAGGTGTCAATATCAATCGAGGAGGTTAAATTATCAATCAGTGCTATGCAAAGTTCAAAATCACCGGGGCCGGATGGTTATCCTGTTGAATTTTTTTAAACTTTTAAAGACGCTCTCTCTCCCTTGTTGAGGAATATGTATATGGAGTCCCTCGATAAATCATCCCTTCCGCCCACTCTCCGACAAGCCAGCATCTCACTACTGCTGAAACCAAATAAGGATCCACTGGAATGTTCTTCTTTTAGACCTATATCATTGTTAAATATAGCCTAGACTAGGCTAAATTACTTGCCCTTCGCCTTGATAATTACTTACCTTCCCTGATATCATCGGATCAGACGGGATTTGTCAAAGGAAGGCAGGGTTTTTTTAATTTGCGCAGGTTTTTCAATATTTTAAGTACACATTCAAATACAACCTCGGCGGTAGCCCTGTCACTTGATGCTGAGAAAGCGTTTGACCGGGTGGAGTGGGACTATTTGTTTTATATTCTTGACCAATTTGGCTTTGGCCCCAAATTTATATCCTGGGTGCGCTTGCTTTACTCTTCACCTATGGCTCGAGTAAGAACAAACTCATTATGTTCTCTGCATTTCTCACTCCACCGCGGCACAAGACAGGGTTGTCCTTTATCCCCACTTTTGTTTGCTCTATCAATAGAACCCCTGGCGATTAAACTGCGGGCAGAAAAAAAAGTTAAGGGTGTCAGTAGGGTAGGAGAAGAACATAAACTGTCTTTATACGCAGATGACTTATTATTGTACATATCCAATCCCTTGAGCTCTCTCCCCCATGCTTTTACCATTTTTGATGACTTTGGCCGCATCTTTGGTTATAAATTGAATATGCATAAAAGTGAATTACTTAGAATTAACTTAAAGGCTAAAGAAATTGTATTTTCTAATTTCAACTTCAAAGTTAAAACAGATTATATAACATACCTAGGTGTTAAAGTAACTCAAACGAAAACTGACATACAAAGATGGAATAACTTACCATTATCATTGATAGGCCGTGTCAACTCGGTTAAAATGAATATTTTGCCAAAATGTTTGTACCTTTTTCAATGTATCCCACTTTATCTACCAAAGAAGTTTTTTGTTTCTCTTGATAAACTTATATCAGCTTACATATGGAACGGTAAACCACCACGAATCCGCAAGAAATGTATGCAAAGACCGAGGTCATCAGGTGGTCTAGCCCTGCCAAATTTTCAGTACAATTACTGGGCAGCAAATATACGAAATATGCTGTATTGGACTAAGGATGTGACTCCCTCTTGGGTTAATATTGAGAAAAATGACTGTGGAAATACCTCTCTGCCAGCATTGTTAACTACATCACTCCCTTTAGAAATTCACCATTTCGAATATAACCCCCTGCTTTATGATTCGCTGAGAATATTGGTACAGTGTACAGTGTACAGGAAAAAATTTGGCCTGCATACAATGTCAATAAAGGCTCCTTTGTATTCCAACCATGCATTTCCACCGTCTCTGGTTGATTCGGCTTTTAAAATCTGGAAGAACAAAGGGTTACACTCATTTAAACATCTTTTTATTGATAATGTTTTTGCCTCATTCCTACAACTAACCGAAAATTGTAATATACCTAAAACACATTTTTTCCGTTATCTACAGTTACGTCATTTTATGAATAACAAATACCCTTCCTTTCCTAATCTACCTGCAGCTTCAACTATGGACAACATACTAGAGGTAAATGTTTCTAAAAAGGGAAGCATTCGAGAAATGTATAATATTTTGTTTGATCTACAGTCCCCATCTTTGACCATTATTAAATTACATTGGGAAAAGGATCTAGCACTAAACATAACAGATGAGCTCTGGGGGACCATGCTTCGAGGGGTTCACTCTTTAGTTTGTGCCAAACATGGACTTATTCAATTTAAGGTCCTTCACCGATTACACCTTTCTAAGGAGAAACTAGCTACATTTTGTCCGGGCACAGATCCTTTGTGTAATCGTTGCAAGTCTGATTCTGGTTCACTCAGATTGTTTTTTTTACTGCAAATGGCAAATAAATTAATCTTGATCTTGATCATACATACCTTTTGGTCATGCCCTAATATTTGTAATTATTGGACATCTATTTTTAAAACGCTTTCAGATGCTTACAGCATTAGAGTTGTACCCAATGACGGCGCTCTTTGGGGTGTTGCCTCCAGGAGTAACTATCCCAAATTACTCCTTATGTGCTGTGGCCTTTGCATCCCTGATGGCACGACATCTTATTCTTTTTAAATGGAAAGACGAGTCCTCTCCTACACATTCCCATTAGATCACTGATCTTATGCACTTTCTGCATATAGAAAAAGTGAGGTATCTACTTTCTGGCTCAATTGCTAAATTTGAACGAACCTGGCGGCCATTCCTAAAATACATGGAAGATATGAAAATAGTTGGCATACCTTGATATATGTATAGTAAAATCTGTAACTGTAATTTTACCTTGATATTACTGTATGGGAATCTTTTTTTTTTTTTTTTTTCTGTTTTCTTTTGTTTTTTCAGTCAATCTATGCACTGTATTTTTATTATAATTATTTATTTTTTTATGTTTGAAAGAAAAAAGGCATGTCATTCTGTGTCTGGTACACACAATATGTGAATTGTCATATTGAAAATGCATAAATAAAATTATTAGAAAAAAAAAAAAAAAAGCATCAAAATCAAAAACAGTCAATCCGTGAAGTTTTTGAGTGACTTAATCCCGATGCCACTGAACGGTGAAACGGGCTACCAGCTCCAAATCTCTGTAGATCTTAATCATTTGAACAGAGACTTGAAAAAGCACATTTTAGATTTGGGATGTCGATCTCGTGGTGGTCATGAGCCAAAACAATGACATTGGATTTCTTTCTTAGTAAAGTTAGAAATATTTAGAAACATTTTTAGAAGAGAATAGAAAAAAACCACATGGTAAAATACGATTTAAAATTATGTATAACATAGTAGCCATATTAACAGATTGCTGTCAATGCTGTGAGTGAATCATAATCATCCGACATCAGCTCAAAGGCACAAAAACGTTAAAAGTTGTACTTTTTTGCGAGTTAAGGTTCTGTTTATTTCGTTATCATTGTATAATTACGATGGAAAAGTAACAGTAGCTAAATCTATTTCAAATCAAAAGACTAAATGTTTTGTGCATTGTCCTTGTTTGTTAACTAAAGGTAAAGGTGCACTTTATTCAATCCTCTGCATTTGACCCATTCTGATGCCACGAAGGCTTACGTCAGGAGCAGTGGTCGCCGTAGTAACAGCGCCCGGGAACCCATCTCCAGGTGTTGATGCTCGGCTTGGTCAGGACCAGAGCTGGAGGATTTAACCTATTATGCATGTTTTTAGTGGTGGGGGAAACCGGAGTACCTGGAGGAAACCTACCCAGGCACAGGGAGAACATTCAAACTCCACTCAGAAAGACCCTGTTCCGACCGGGATTCGAACCCAGGACCTTCTTGCTGAGAGGCTAGAGTCCGATCAACTCACCGTGTCGATAAAATAGTGTCTCAAAAACAATAGTAAGGTCTGTATAATATATCGAGTTGATATGGATAATGCCTCTTGTCGTTGTACGTCATTGAAAAGTGCAATATTCATATTTCATAAAACATTCAAACCCACTCCCGCATCTCATTCGTATTAGAAAAAATAAAAATAAAATACTACCTTCTGCAGAGGCCAGCAGAGTAAAGACTGCAACCAGCGCGATGAGCCTGAGGCAAGTCATCTTAAAACACAAATAATACAAAATAAACTTAATGGAACGGTACAGTAGATAAAGTCCATAAGAAACATTGATTATCACCTTGAGTCGTTCCTTGGTGTTTTGTTAACCACTCGCTCCACAGACGCAGAATGACAGCTGCTCATCAACTCTGTCTCTTTATATACGCTAATAGTTGCGCAACTTTACCTCTGCTGGGGTTTCCATAAAATTTCAAAGATGTTTTCTTTATTACCGCTGATGGAAGCAATGAGAACAAACCAGATCTGCAACTGTCCAACGTAGAAAGAAATGCTTTTATTTACTTTGTGTTGCCACCTCCAGATTTTTATACTGTTTCTAGGGTTGGGTTTAAATCAAATGTATAAATCCGTGTCACAGATACAGATACAAATCCAGGGACTTTTTTGTTGCATTGGAGAGAAATTAAGAGAAATGTCTTGTATGCATTTTATGACAGAAAATAGTGGAACAATGCAGACTTCTACACTAGTTTTATTTCTTTGCCACCAAATTAAAAAAAAGCAAATCAGTACCAAATGCACTTTCAACTCCTCACCTGGTCTCACAAATGCCCCCTTTAGCTCTGTAGCCTGTCTCTCCTGTACCTAATCTATATAATAGGACTGGGATAAAGGCTTTTTGGCTTGTTGTATGTTCTTCTCAGCAGAAGACGGGGTTCCTCGCACAAACCAGTACGTAGTGTTGGAGAAGAAATGCACTCTGAGTTATGTATTAAAGAAAGAGTTTAATGGAATCAAGTCAAATTCAGGCTTAGCGCTTTCAGCCTTGGTCAGCTCCGAAAATGAGGATGGTAAGAATGACAAAGAACACACTAAGCACAGGGTTCTTATGGATGCGCTAGGACACGGGATGTAGTAAATACATGTGTCATTCAACAGACTAGTCCTGGTTAAACTCCATATCTCTGAGTCTGTCTTCCCTGAGGGTCTACAGGCTCTTATTGTCCTTCCAGATGGTGGTCCAGTGGTCCTCCCTGTGGTCCTCTCTGTGGTCCTCTCTGTGGTCCTCTCAGTGGTCCTCCCTGTGGTCCTCTCAGAGGTCCTCTCTGTGGTCCTCAAAGTGGTCCTCTGTTGTCCTCTCAGTGGTCCTCCCTGTGGTCCTCTCAGTGGCCGTGTCTCCACTGCAGTAGGACCACTCCGTGATGTCATGAGTTTCAATTTCCACATTAGAGACACTCATTACGCCAAACACATTTGTTTATTTTACTGTCGTAACCGCTCCGGTTTTGTTTGTGTTTTTTTATAGTCCTGCTTCAGTTTTTTCAAACATTTCACGGCTTGTTTTAGAGTGCGATGAATCTCCAGCGCACTGGACCAGCTCTATACTCTCCATCGGTTACTCGAGGGTTCATGGGAGTTCGCCCAACCTGTCCACATGTGCTTTGGAGAAGGCGTTCAGAGGAGTCCTTTGGGGCTTCTCCGGGAGTACGGGGTCCAGGGTCCTCTGCTGAGGGCCGTCTGGTCCCTGTATGACCGGAGCCAGAGTGCATTTGCATTGCCAGCAGTAAGTCAGACCGGTTCCTGGTGCATGTTGGCCTCCGACAAGGCTGCCCTTTGTCACAGGTTCTGTTCACTGTCTTTATGGAACGAATTTCTAGGCGCAACCAGGGGTCGGAGGGGATCCGGTTCGGAGACCACAGGATTTCATCTCTGCTGTTTGCAGACGATGTTGTCCTGTTGGCTCCAACGAACCAGGACCTACAACATGCACTGGGACAGTTTACAGCCGAGTGTAAAGCGAATGGGATGAGAATCAGCACCTCCAAATCCAAGGCCATGGTGCTCGACCGGAAAAATTTGCCTTGCCCTCTCCGGGTGGGTGGAGAGGTCCTTCCTCAAGTGGAGGAGTTCAAGTATCTCTGGGTCTTGTTCACGAGTGAGGGAAGGATGGAGCGTGAGATTGACAGGCGGATCGGTGCAGCGTGCGCAGTGATGCGGTCGCTGTATCGGACCGTTGTGGTAAAGAGGGAGCTGAGCCGAAAGGCAAAGCTCTCAGTTTACCGGTCAATCTTCGTTCCCTCCCTCACCTTTTGGTAATGACCGAAAGAACAAGCGGTCAAAATGAGCTTCCTCTGCAGAGTGGCTGGGCGCTCCTTAGAGATAGGGTGAGGAGCTCGGTCACATGGGTGGAGCTCGGAGTAGAGCCGCTGCTCCTTCACGTTGAGATGAAGCAGTTGAGTTGGCTCGGGCATCTGTTCCGGATGCCACTGGACGCCTCCCTGGGGAGGCCCCGGGGAAGACCCAGGACACTATGTCTCTCAGCTGGCCTGGGAACGTCTTGGGGTCCTCCCGGACGAGCTGGAGGAAGTGTGTGTGGATAGGGAAGTCTGGGCTTCTCTGCTTAGACTGCTGCCCCCGCGACCCAGAAACGGATGAAGCAGAAGAAAATGGAACAAAAACAAAGACCTGGATCAAGTTAACTTTATGTAGAGGCTGACATGAACAGTTTTAGAGATGTTTCCATGAAAGTAAATGGGAGCCAAATGTGTATTAATGTGAGGAAAACCTGTAACATTGACCAGAGTTTGTGTGTAGTTCTACAATGGTTTACTGTAGTTCTGTAGTTCTACACATTCCCATGATTAAATCCATCAATGTTGAGATTTTAAAAGGTTTCTGCCTGTTTTAAATGATTGCTTGCTGCGAAACCAATTTCCCCCAATAAATAAATAATAAATTATGTATTCTTGTATTGCCGTAAAGATTCACGGTGCTTATTTCGGAGGACTTTACAAAACCGTTGAATTCGCCAATACAGATCGGAGAATCGAACAGTTCAAACACAAGAAATGCAATGATATAAAACACATAGAGCCATTGGTCCATAAGGGGCAGAGACCAATGTCCATAAATGTTAAATTTGAGGATCTTGGATCATCACCACTGTCCATTGACCCTCCTGCGTCTACAAATTCAAGACAATTTCGAATCCAGCCGTAGAAGAGATTTCTCCGTCACACAAGCAGAGTAATGATAACTCCATCGTCTCTTCCCTGCCACAACATCTCTCCTTCGAACGCCACTTTCCCGTGCTTCCTGGCTCGCATCAGAATCCCCACAACTTTGTCCGAAATGCGAACGTATCTGTCGAACAACTCTCTGAACGTCACACGTGTCTTTCCGTCTCCGTCGGCCTTCGCCATCGTCCGAATGATCAGACACATGTCGGCGATCTCGCGGTGGATGTGCTGCTCGGCGCGTTTGGCTTGCTCCGCCGTCTTGGTGGCCTCCTTTGGCCTCCCGTAGCCCTCTTGGCCTCGCACCAGCCTCGTGGACATGGAGTAGTTGTAGTCAAAGTATTCACTGAACGGGTTGAGTCTTTGGTTGACCGTGTGCTCCGAGGCCCAGTCCTGCCACCGGCTCTTCAGGCTTCCCACCGCGCTGTAGCGTTTGGAGAGAGCGTTGATCTTGTTGGCGCCATTAGAGCTTACTTCCAAACGTAAATGCAATGAGTTTGCTAATTTTTTCAATGACAAGGTTCAAGGCATCAAAAGCGCCATTGTCTCCAATCCACAGATAACCATCCAACAGCCAGAAAGGCTCTCTGAGCTAACTCACTTTGCACCTGTAAATGATAAAACTGTCCAAGAGATAATCTCCAGTTTGAGCTCCTCCACATGCAGCCTGGATGTACTACCCACTAGATTTCTAAAGTCTGTTCTGAGCAGTCTGTTACCTTCACTCACACAGATAGTAAACATGTCCCTTCATTCTGGAATATTCCCAAAGGCCCTGAAAACTGCAGTCATCAGGCCCCTGCTAAAAAAGAGCAGTCTGGATGCCACTGTACTTAACAACTATCGTCCCATCTCAAATCTGCCATTTATGGGGAAAGTCCTTGAGAAAGTTGTCTACCTACAGCTTACTAGATTTCTTATAATCAACAACTCATTTGATTATGTTTCAGTCCGGCTTTAGACCCCACCACAGCACTGAGACTGCTCTCGTTAAGGTTACAAACGATATCCGGCTGAACACTGACGCAGGCAAAGTCTCAATCTTAATCTTGTTAGATCTGAGTGCTGCCTTTGACACCGTCGACCATGAGATCCTCTTACAGAGACTAGAGGACTGGGTTGGCGTCACTGGCACCGCCCTAAGTTGGTTTAGGTCTTACCTTGAAGACAGGAAGTACTTTGTGGAGATTGGAAACTGTGTCTCAGATCATATGGCCCTGACCTGTGGAGTCCCACAGGGGTCGATCCTGGGACCTCTTCTGTTCAATCTCTACATGCTGCCGTTAGGTCAGTTAATACGCAGAAACAAAGTTTCCTATCATAACTATGCAGACGACACTCAGATCTATGTCTCACTGACTGCAGGAGAACATGGACCAGTGGACTCACTCCTTCACTGTATCCAACAGATCAGTGAGTGGATGCAAAACAACTTCCTTCAGCTAAACGCAGACAAAACTGAAATGATTGTCTTTGGTCCCCAGAAACAAAGAGAGAGCGTCATCTGTCACCTACAGTCTCTCTCCCTAAAACCTTCAAACAAGGTCAGAAATCTAGGGGTAATACTGGACTCAGACTTAAATTTTAATAGCCACATCAAATCAGTAACATCAGCAGCTTTTTACCATCTAAAAAACATTGCCAGGATCAAAAACATAGTGTCTAAAGCAGACTTGGAGATTCTTATCCATGCATTTGTCTCCAGTAGGTTAGACTACTGCAATGGCCTGCTCACAGGTCTGTCCAAACAGGCTGTAAAACAGCTGCAGTACATTCAAAATGCAGCAGCTCGAGTCCTGACAAGAACCAGGAAGTACGACCACATTAGTCCAGTCCTCAGGTCTCTGCACTGGCTTCCTGTGGCTCAGAGAATAGACTTTAAAACAGCTCTGCTTGTGTACAAGTCTCTCCATAGCCTCGCACCAAAATATATTAGTGACATGTTAGTCCCATATGAACCAGCCCGGACTCTGAGGAGCACAGGGACTGGACTCCTGTTAGTGCCCAGAGTCAGAACTAAACATGGGGAGGCTGCTTTTCAGATTAATGCTGCTAAAATCTGGAACAGTCTTCCTGAAGATGTGAGACAGGCCTCCTCTCTGACAATGTTTAAAACCAGGTTAAAGACGGTTCTGTTTAACTGTGCATACAACTGAGGGATTTTATATTTTTATCTTTCTTTTTAATGTTCTGTGATAATTTATGATTTTAATGCTTTCTTGTTTTGTTCAGCACTTTGAATTGCCTTGTGTATGAATTGTGCTATATAAATAAACTTGCCTTGCCTTGCCTTGCCTTCAGTAAAGACAGTTTTTCAGTCTGAGATGTCGGTCCCTGAGCTTAAGTGGCCCTCTTACTAAAAAGTTTGGACACCCCTGACTGTAGTTGTTAATTTTCCTTCACTAAAAACAGTGTAAATATTCATAAAAGCCCATTCCAGATACCACATCTTGATCCTGGTGTATGATAGTTGCACATATATCATGGACAAGCGCCGACCTCTGCCTCCGACATTAAAGAAAGCCCTGGATCTGGAGCCTCGCCCTGTTTACCCCTGGAGGCTCCTGCTGCACACTTCACTTCTCATCTGCCCCTTCATCCGTAATCTGCTCGCTCTCATTCACAAAACACATAATCCCACGTGGATCCAGTGACCTCCGAGCTACCAAAGGGATTACATGTATTTACCAACATCCTCAGAGAAGGTGCTTTGCTTCCGAGTCCCAGGAATTAGATTACGGGGACGTGGTTGTAGAAATGTTTAGCCTTTTATTACGTAAGTGTGCCTTGAAGAAAGCAGGGGCCGTGTTGGATGTCCCACCACCGGGCTGATGTGTAGTGATGGAAGCAGGGACTAAGAATAGCTGCATACATGATTCCTGAAGCAAGACTGAAATAGCTCCATGATGATCTGCAGGACTCATGGGAGCAATTATGTCCAAGTGAAAAGTTAGACGCATAAATATTGTCTGCAAATATGTGTTCAAGTCAAAGGCAGAATAAGAAATGCCTGTTAATGAATGAATCGTTGAAATCCTAGACCAGACTAATAATAATGTGATTTGTAGGAAACAGAACTAATTATAGCCTGAACTAATATTTTAGGTTTTATTTTGCAGTTTCGCATTATTGTGAAACTGCTATTTAGAGACAGTGTATGATAACTTTTAATATTGTACTTCATTACATATCTGTTATTGGAAATGTGGAATCCACCAGAGAGAGAGAGAGGTCAAAGAGTGACCAAAGAGAGACCAAAGAGAGACCAAAGAGAGGCCAAAGAGAGATCAGAGAGAGACCAGAGAGAGACTGGGGAGACCAAAGAGCAACCAGAGAGAGAGCAAAGAGAGGCCAAAGAGAGGCCAAAGAGAGACCAGAGAGAGACCAGAGAGAGACCAGAAAGAGATCAGAGAGAGATCAGAGAGAGACCAAAGAGAGACCAAAGAGAGACCAGAGAGAGACCAAAGAGAGAACAGAGAGAGTCCAGAAAGAGACCAGCGAGAGACCAGAACGAGATCAGAAAGAGAGACCAAAGAGAGACCAGAGAGATTCAGACCTACTGTTGGTGGATGTGGTTGCTGTGTCTGGTTAATCACGGTGCAAATCCATGTAGAATTCAAAGGCACAAAGCAAAAACAAATGCATGTTATTAAAGGTAACTTTGAAATCGTGGACCAGACTCGTAACGATGTGATTTGGAGGCAAAGGAGCTCATTATTATAGATTTCTTAGCAACATTGTAGCTTTTGCTTTGCAGTTTCTCATTCCTGCGCATCTCCCATAAAGAGACCGCATTCTTGTGTTCCTCATTACAAATCTATTATTGGGAACATGCAAGTAAAAGTCAACGGTAAATTTGATCCCAAAGGATTGAGAAAGTGCTGTGTGAGGGGACCAGGCTGTGATGCCGAGAGGAAGCAGAGGAGACGCTGCATTTCTGTTAAAAACAACCCTTACTTCTGCATCTGAATCCAGTTTTATGGAGGTTTTAGGGCACGCTGCAAGCTCAGAGTTACAATAGTTGTGCCTGGAGGTGACAAATACTTAGGCAGGATTTTATTAGTGATTGTAAGTTGTATAAAGTATGGCTCGAGGCTACACTGACAATGTGATGTGTTATTTTAACCGTCGAGGTTTGTCTTTCACACAGTCGACTCTGTAACTTGTCTGTTGAGATTTCATGGATGGGTGAAGCTGTATTGGTCTCTTTGGTCACTTTGTCCCATACGCTCTTGATGCTAACATGTACAGATGTAAACATACTACTAAATTTATTTTGATAAAGTCAGAGATTTTGGACTTAGGGCAGTATGTAAAAATGTGGCCAAAAGTGGTACTGCAGCCTCTCCCACTCTCCCTGAATCAGGTTGCCAGATATGCAGACGAATCCAGCTGGGACCATAACAGCTGAATAGACAAGAGTTTTGTCAACAACAAATCTATAACCAACACCTTTTTCACAAAGATAGAAATCCTGCTTTTATTCCTTGTTTTGTCGTTAATGATTTGAGAATCATAACGAGACCTTTTTTAGTTCTGCGCCACATGGTACTTTACCAGTGAGATTAGCTCAATGCTGTGAGACCTGGCAACCCAGATCAGGGACTTTCTGATTGTTGAAACGGTGGAGGGCGGGACATCGAAATGAAAACAATAACAAGATTTAGGGGCTGGAAAACTAATTTAGAAATTCAGATATCTCTGAACTACTTTTATCAGATAAAGAAGTATTGGAAAAGAACAGTTTTTATTAATGCCTTTTGACAGATTAGGGCCCTTTAATGATGCTACTTTTCATGTAAGTCTTGCTTCTTCATGCTATAGTTGGAGAGTTTTCCCATCTTACTTTCTTATTATACTAAAGATAGAGATTATATACGTCTTATTTTTATGCTATTTGACATAAAAATACATTGAATTAGATTTTATTTCAGTTCAATAATTCATCTGTGTGCTCCTCATTCTTACTGTTCTGTAACTTGCGATACATATTAAGGACTTTGTTAAAACTGTTCAGGGCAGGACAAATGTTTCCTTGTTTATTGAACTTGATGGGAATCCTTTTTAGACTTTTTTTTTTTTCTTTTTGATCCATCTTGTCCTCTCTCTGATGGTCTGTCCTCTGCAGCCCTCCCTGTGGCTGCTTCACTGCACAGAGAAGCTCCATAAACTTGTCCGGTCTGAGCACTGGAGCAGAAATGTGTGAAAGGAGGCTCCCGCAGACGCACACACAGAGGTGACATGTTTGTAAAGATGGCAGACGGAGAAGGACAGAGAATTACCGGCGCTGTTCAATCTTGTCTGTCCCCGGTTCGCTGGGAAATGTGGGCCTCAGGCTTCGAGTCCAACGGGCGGAAAATGCATTGTCATTTCTGCGACGAGATGTGGAAGTCTGAAGGAAGAGGTCTGTGTGAGAGGGATGTAGTGGTGCTGTGTGGAAATCAGTTCTGTTTGTTTATGTTGATGTGACAGAGAGAAAGACAACAGAGAGAGAGAGAGAGACAACAGAGAGAGAGAGACAACAGAGAGACAACAGAGAGACAACAGAGAGAGACAACAGAGAGAGACAACAGAGAGAGAGAGACAACAGCGAGAGAGACAACAGAGAGAGAGAGACAACAGAGAGAGAGAGACAACAGAGAGAGACAACAGAGAGAGAGAGACAACAGAGAGAGAGAGACAACAGAGAGAGAGAGACAACAGAGAGAGACAACAGAGAGAGAGAGACAACAGAGAGAGAGAGACAACAGAGAGAGAGAGACAACAGAGAGAGAGACAACAGAGAGAGAGAGACAACAGAGAGAGAGACAACAGAGAGAGACAACAGAGAGAGAGAGACAACAGAGAGAGAGACAACAGAGAGAGAGAGACAACAGAGAGAGACAACAGAGAGAGAGACAACAGAGAGAGAGACAACAGAGAGAGAGACAACAGAGAGAGAGACAACAGAGAGAGACAACAGAGAGAGAGAGACAACAGAGAGAGAGACAACAGAGAGAGACAACAGAGAGAGAGAGACAACAGAAAGAGAGAGAACAACAGAGAGAGACAACAGAGAGAGAGAGACAACAGAGAGAGACAACAGAGAGAGAGACAACAGAGAGAGAGACAACAGAGAGAGAGACAACAGAGAGAGAGACAACAGAGAGAGAGACAACAGAGAGAGAGAGACAACAGAGAGAGAGACAACAGAGAGAGACAACAGAGAGAGAGAGACAACAGAAAGAGAGACAACAGAGAGAGACAACAGAGAGAGACAACAGAGAGAGGGACAACAGAGAGAGAGAGACAACAGAGAGAGAGACAACAGAGAGAGACAACAGAGAGAGAGACACAACAGAGAGAGAGACAACAGAGAGAGACAACAGAGAGAGAGACAACAGAGATAGAGAGACAACAGAGAGAGACAACAGAGAGAGAGACAACAGAGAGAGAGACAACAGAGAGACAACAGAGAGACAACAGAGAGAGACAACAGAGAGAGAGACAACAGAGAGAGACAACAGAGAGAGAGACAACCGAGAGAGAGACAACAGAGAGAGACAACAGAGAGAGACAGCAGAGAGAGACAACAGAGAGAGACAACAGAGAGAGAGACAACAGAGAGAGACAACAGAGAGAGAGAGAGAACAGAGAGAGAGACAACAGAGAGAGACAACAGAGAGAGAGAGACAACAGAGAGAGACAACAGAGAGAGACAACAGAGAGAGAGACAACAGAGAGAGAGAGACAACAGAGAGAGAGACAACAGAGAGAGACAACAGAGAGAGAGAGACAACAGAGAGAGAGACAACAGAGAGAGAGAGACAACAGAGAGAGACAACAGAGAGAGAGACAACAGAGAGAGAGACAACAGAGAGAGACAACAGAGAGAGAGACAACAGAGAGAGAGACAACAGAGAGAGAGACAACAGAGAGAGAGACAACAGAGAGAGAGAGACAACAGAGAGAGAGAGACAACAGAGAGAGAGACAACAGAGAGAGACAACAGAGAGAGAGAGACAACAGAGAGAGAGACAACAGAGAGAGACAACAGAGAGAGACAACAGAGAGAGACAACAGAGAGAGAGAGACAACAGAGAGAGAGACAACAGAGAGAGAGACAACAGAGAGAGACAACAGAGAGAGACAACAGAGAGAGACAACAGAGAGAGACAACAGAGAGAGAGACAACAGAGAGAGAGAGACAACAGAGAGAGAGACAACAGAGAGAGACAACAGAGAGAGACAACAGAGAGAGAGACAACAGAGAGAGACAACAGAGAGAGAGACAACAGAGAGAGACAACAGAGAGAGAGACAACAGAGAGAGAGACAACAGAGAGACAACAGAGAGACAACAGAGAGACAACAGAGAGAGACAACAGAGAGAGAGACAACAGAGAGAGACAACAGAGAGAGACAGCAGAGAGAGACAACCGAGAGAGACAACCGGGAGAGACAACAGAGAGAGAGACAACAGAGAGAGAGAGACAACAGAGAGAGACAACAGAGAGACAACAGAGAGAGACAACAGAGAGAGAGACAACAGAGAGAGAGACAACAGAGAGAGACAACAGAGAGAGACAACAGAGAGAGACAACAGAGA